TGTTCAGTTAAAAATATGAGTTTTACTGCTGTTTGTTCTTTGTGAATAGAGTTGTTTGAGTACCTTTTATATTTTGTTCAAGCCTCCAATAATTATCAAAGGATTTCCTTTGAAAATGTTTAGCAATTCAATGAAGTACAGAATTCACATGGTTACTTAGTTTCTTTCAAAAACATTTGCTCTGTGAAAGCTATCGCACCTTCCTGTGGCTCAGGGTATTAGACTTCTCATTTTGTGAGGGGAAAACTGAGTCTATGTGCAAGCGTCAAATAATTGGTTTTCTTTGGGTGACAATACAGGCTTTCATTACAAAGCCCAGATTTTTCAGCGTGCTAAAGCACAGTTGGTGTTCTTTGAATGGGGGAAGTTCATGTTTCAAATTCCTGGAACCTTCAGAACATTTTGAGATTGATCCTGTGTTTTTTCATGGTGAACTGAATTATTCAGAGGAATGCTACTAATGAGAAAGCAAGCCTGTCATCTCTCCAAGTGTGGTGTGGCCTACACGGTAACGATGAGACACAACCTGATGGCAATTTACTGGTTTTTATGCTTACATATACTCACAAACATCACAATATACGATATGTCTTCCCTAGCATATCTAATGAAACACGTACATTTTTTCCTGAGAAGTGACAGAAGAAAACACATCCCCAGACTTCCTTAGAGACAGATCAGTGCAGAAGAATTCACAGAGATCAATACTCTTTTCTTACCAATAAGGAAATTTGAAAGCTGCTCTTTGTGCATAGATTATGAATCACTCAACAGTAGCCCAGCCACTTCTTTGTTTTTCTACAAGCCTCAGTTTTGACACAAGATATAATCCTTCTAATAGGTAAAACCAAACAAATTCATGCTTTATAAATAATAAATAATGCTTTGAGTTTTGATTAACGCTGAATGGCAAAGAACTCCTCAAGAACAGATAAACGTCTGCCCAGAGAGACAACTGTGCTGCATCACAGGATGAACTTCTGAGTGGTCCTCAGGGTCAGAGCCAGCAACTCCATTTCAAGAACCAGTCAGAAAACTCCATGTAGTGATAATTATAGTAGGCTTATCTATGATGGAAATGAACTCTAAGGCTGAGCTAAACATAAAGCTAAATATTAAGACCTTAAAGATTTGTATCGGGACTAATACCAATTAAGATTTGAGCTCTCAGACAGGTGTTGAGAGTTAAGCTTGTTGGCAGTAAACTTTGTACACTGGTTGCCTCTTTCTACTGTAGTCAGGCCTCCCACAAGCTTCTTTTTTCTTTTGTTCACAAAGATTCAGTTTATAGAATCATTCTTTGTCTCTTTAGTGTTCTTTCCCTATTTTGAACTATGTCTGACATCTGCCACTCTAATAATTATTTCTTGTGCAGATATTTGCCTCTGAGTTTACCTTGAGCTGCTGATGGAAAATTCCATGAGAAAGCGAATTTCATTACCAATGACAAAACAGCTTAAGTAATTATGATAACTTATCATAAGGCATGAAAAGAGTGATACTGATTTTGCAGTGGTGGGTGTTAAACAAGCAATTCAGTATCTCTCTAAAATTAACTCATTAAGTGTCATACTATAGTCTGAGATAAATATTTGGAAAACAACTTCATCTCTATAAAAGTTAGCTTCTGCAGCAAAGTTCCTAGTAGGGTTCAAACTTCTCTCTCCAAGGCTTTTCCTTGCCTATGAGACAGGCAGGTATTGGCAAGATGTCTGAGAAGGTGCTCAACAGTCTTGGACTTGGAAGAAAATGCCCACTGAAGTTCATGACTTTACAATCGTCAGTGCAATGCTTTTCGCCCTGGAGTTCATTCTGCATCCTAAACCACATTACACTGAAGATACAGAATGATTGAAAATAGTGACTGTTATCCAAGGGGGCATGCACTGAATGACAGCCATCTGATGCAACCATTATTTGCTTGCTCCAGTAACTTGAGGTTGCAGTATTCCACTTCTCCATAGTAATGTACCTGGCCTCACTTTAAGAAATGAGAAAAAATCCAGAGCAACAGTAATAAAATGTCCAATATTTTTCGAAGAAAGCCTCAATTAGTGATGATCTAAATGAATGAAGCTTGATAAATATGATAAGAAAAAACACAGACCCACTGTCAAGCATGTCACTTGGCCATAAAAAGAACCTGTTAGTGCTGAGCAAAAGCTTGGGAGAATCAGAATCAGAATTCAGTCAAAAGATAGAATAACTGAAAAAGAGAGTTCAAAATGGTAAGAAATTAATTATTTGGCATTTTAAAGGAGCTTTGCTTTTCTGATTTTATTAGTTTATCACTGAGCCAACACACTTTCTGCTACTGTGAGAGCAAGGAAAGCTTTCTTTTCTTTTCTATTATAATAGGAGACTTTCAAAAATACTTTGTCTTTTCTTAAGAATTTTGCTCAACTGGTTGAAGAAATCATGTACACATACCTGTCAAAAAAATTGGTTTCAAACAATTCAAAAGTTGTTGAAAATTTTTCACTTGGAAATTACATAGTTAATTATGCTAATCTCTGAAAAGAAGTGACAATAAAGTAATCAAGTTTCTGGTCTCTATGCTGTCATTTTTTTCCAACCATCCAATGCTTGAAAAAGTCATAAGTGTTATTAGTTTTACTTTCTGGTTGGAAACTTCATTCCCTGAGACCAAGTCAATTTTACTGTAGCTTCTGTTCCTGACAAGCTATTAAACATAGGCCGAATGTTTTACAAAATTAGTTTAGTTTTCAGTCAAAATTATTCATACCTGAAGCAATGGACAGTACACAGAAAAATAGGAAGGTTCCTATCAAGAAGGCTTGGGGTAAGTAGTAATGTTACGTGTTGATGTTCAGCGAAGCAGTAACCAGTGCCTGACTGCTAACTTCTTTTTTTTTTTTTTTAAATAGTTTGACGCAGACAGAGATGAAGAAGAAGTGTTCTTTGACATAAGTTCAGCAGTTGACAATAAACTATTTGCAAACAAAGAGGCTGCAGCAGGTGAGTTAATGTAAGATTTAAAGAAGCGCATTTTTTATACTGCATTTGACATTGGTAGGATGTCTTTTTGATATTCCGCAAGTATGGATGTACGTACCATACCGAACTCTTGACCAACCTCAAACATTTGCACAACCAAGGGCAAAAAAATCTCTTTACACTTGAAAACTTCATACAACTCACCTAGCATCTTGTTTATCTACAAGTTCACCTTAAAATACTATGAATAGTCCACTAAAGTGTATTATTAATACAAAAAGTTGATTAATTCTGGGTGACGGCTATCTGTTTCAGTTCCAGATGATACCTCAGTGTTCACCAGAAAACCAGTCCTATGAGATTAATAATCATACTTCCTCCCTAATAATTGGTACTAATTCTGAAACTGTGTGTGAGTACAAGTCAGGCATTTGGAGGTTTTATGTATTTATATATTTATTATTTGTGCTTACTGAGGCTTGAATGTCTTAAAAGAAAAAGCTGTTGAGGGACAAAGGACTGCAAAAGAATTGAAGCTAAAAATCAAAGCACTGAAAATCCATAACGTCTATCAGAAATATTTTGCTTGAAGGGAACAGGAAAATGTTCCTTCATAACTTTACAACTTTTTCTTTCTACAGATGACATCCCTGGCTGCCTTCTAAGTAGACCATGAGGGTTATATAGGTAGATGAGGTCATAAATGTCTTGTGAAACTGCACATAAAGAAAATTCTAGGTGGAATATTTGCATGTAAAATTTACTAGCTTTATTAAAACAAAGATTAGATATGTATAGTAGAGAAAATTGTGTATCTGATCTCTCCACTGTTTAAGGCAAAACTCATCTGCCATAAATTGGCAGGCAGGGTAGCTTCAGTTGTTTGTAATCACAAACAATCTGGGGGGCTGCCAAGGAAGGAGGAATTGATAATGCACAATGAAGTCTAGTAGTAGCAATACATCTATTATCTATTTTTGACAAAGCAGGGATTACTCTTTTCTACTAGCAAGACATTTGCTAAGAGCAGTGCTTCAGACAGAAAGATTAGGTCATATTTCAAAGATTTGAAAGGAGGTTCCAAGCTACCTAGCCTACAAACCCCATCCATAAGGCTATTTTGGATAGTGTTCAAAATAAGTTGAATTATCAAGGCGGGGGTGTGGGGCGGAGGGTGAGAAAGGTAAAAGGTGCATTAGGTCAAAAACAGGTTTCTAATGGTCAGCTTCGAGACAAGATGCACACAAGAATAAAGACTACTAGCTTTCCCCATTAAGGGGCATGCTTACCTCTTTTGTGCTTAGCCTTATTCCTGAAGGCAAGAGATTGATTCCAAACCTCAAATGCATTCCCACTGTATAGCATTGCATTGATAATTACGTGGGGATTCCCTAATTAAATGAGCTAAGTACTGAATAGCAAGAAGAGGAAAGAAGTGGCATTAAGGTGCTAGCTCTGACGAAGAGATTGACAGAAGCTAAAAAATTCACACAAATTGGTTGTGATTCTGGATGAATTCCAATCAGTTCCTTGAAAGTCCGATCTACTTAATAAATTCTTCACCAAAATAATTGGAGAGCTATGAGCTTTATCAGACGCAATGCCACAATCATCTAATTGGTGCCTAACCTGAGCACAAATAATAGTAAGGAAACTCGAAGTAGGATTTCTAGAGATCCTATGAGACCAGATATTTAATTTCTAGAGGTCGCAATTCTAGCATTGTCTTGATCTCACTTTTTGTCTTTTAATTTTATTAGTGATATTCCAATCAATATATTTTGGTTCCTGTTGGCTAACCTAAACATATTATTTCTAATATTTTCATGTGTCCACATCAGTCTAAGTCCTATGTTATACCTGTAAAATCCAGTTGTAATTAACTGTGCAACCATATATGCTGAAAGAAAATAAAAATACTTTTATAGATTAAAATACAATTTTCTCATTGTTGCTTTCTACAACATACTAAGACTGTTGCTAAGAGCAACAACCTGTCATGAAACTCAGCAGTGTAAGGTTGCAATAAAATTTGTATTAAAAGCATCTTACTGAGAGCAAAATTAAAATGTAATCATTCTAATGCTCATCAGTCCTTCAGTAAATTATTTCTATTAGATTCCACTTGAAATTTATCATCTAAGCTTTTGTCTTGCCCAAGTGCTTATATGCAACATGTATTAATTGAGTTATTAGACAGTGCTTCAGAGCATGTTCCATAACTTAAAAAGACAGTCTTATTTTATTGAGCTTTAACACACTATTAAGAGGAGCAACATGTTTCACAGAATAGTCTTAGATTACTTTTATGACGGTCAGTGTAGAACAGTGCAAATACTATAATTTTTAAAATATGAATATGGACATATTTGAGCCAATGAACCATGTTGAATAGACTTGCTACCAGGATTTGAATTAAGCAACAGATTTAAGCAAGGATTGGAAATACATTAGCTGATTAGCCAAAACACAAATTGTCCAAGTAGCGAACGTAATTAACTCACATGATGGGGTACAGCTACCTTGTAATGGGAAGTTAAATCAGCTGCAGATAAATTTAGACAGATAGTGCAATTTAGTTAATTGTAGAAATTAATTTAGTGAACTGTGAAAAAGCAACGCTTGACATTTGCATTCATGAAAACTTAAGGATGAACAGACTTTCAGGAAAGTGACAAACATCCGGGCTCAAAACACTGAAATATTTTATAGGACCACAGATGCCCCTGGGTTCTGGGGTGCGTTTCTGTGGTAAGAATCACACACCTGCCCGCAACAGCCATTCCCTCTCAGCTTTCCATGACCGATCCTGTGCAACTCAACTTAGGAGCAACAAACAATATGTAAAATACAGCACAAAATTTAAAAGTACAGCCTCACGGTGAAGGAAGTGACTGAGCACAGCCCCGCATCCCTCCAGAGGCAGAGGATTCATTTTCCCTGACTGTTGTCTGAGAGAGGTAGCTCCTGTCAGCACACCCTTGTACAACTGCAGCCACCCATTAGTTCAGCTCGTCCCTCAGTGCAGTGTCAATGGATCCTCTCGGATTCCTAGCAAGACAAATCTTTATGAATGATGCCTTCAGTGTCAAGATACAAAACCTAGCAAAAAAAAAGGGAATGCATTCTAGCTGATCTGCTGTTTCTTTTCTCAGCAGCCTGCTCCTCCCCGGAGAGATGATTATTCAGTTAATTAGAATTTAATAAAAGCTTCCAATTGATTTATTTTTTAATTGTGCAGTACCCTACCTAATAAAATCCTCTGTTTTTTCCCCTAAGGAAAACACAAGGCACATGAAAATTACCATGTTTCCCTTATCTCAACTTTATTCATGCATTGAAATTGAGGAAGCATATTTTAAGTCATAAGAGTACCTTTTCAGACTAGGTGCTTCCAAGATATTTCTGCATGGCAGTAGAGCTTTCATGCATTTTCTTTTTTTTTTTTTTTACTGTTGAGTTTACCCTTTTGAAATTGATACAGTTATTCAGATTGTTTGCAATAGGTTCATACAAGCACACGAAGGCTCTAAGTTAACCAAGAACAGAGACTATCTGGTGGAATGGGGCATCTCTTCGAAAGAAATTAGGACAATTCAGACTGTAAGGCTTTCCTTGTAATGGTAAACAAGTATTAATTTTTTTTATAGCCTAGTTCTCAGTGTACCAACTTATCAAAGGAAAAGCAATGCCACTCAGAAAAGTCAATGAAACTTAAGATCAGCTCTTCGGTTGCCAGAGCACGAGATGTGCAGCCTGCAGGCTCACTGAAAGCAGCAGGGCGTGTTTGCTTCCAAATGCTTTAAGTAATCCTCCCCTTTGCCTTAAGCCAACATTTTGTGTTTCTCCTTTGATAGCTGAACATTGCCCCAAGTTTTACATAAAACGTTGCTGCTTGAAACTTGGGCTCAGGAAACCTGAACTGAGTTTTGAATTATCCACTCAGAATTTCTAACACTCTCCCCTTGACTTTAGCCTTGTCAGTAGCTTTGCCTGCCCCCAGGATTACTGACTCCCAGTAGCCACTTGCAAACTGGCTCTCATACGCTTCTGCTGCCATGCTTACTGGTGATTAGTTAGTGAGCCTGTTGTCCTCCCCTAGAAGACCTGTTTTAGCAAGATTTAGTTCAAACTCAGCAAAATATGCTCCCTCCAACAACAAACTTAGCTGGAGAATAGCAAACTACTCATGCTTACTCACACTGCACCAGGTGTATCACAAGCACTCTTATATGTCCCTTCATTACTTTATCTTGTCCTGGGAGTAGCCATTTGCTTCAGTTTATTTCTGGTAGGTTTGTTTTTAGGCAATTCGAGAAGAATAGAGAAGTCTGTATACTATTTAGTGATAGATAGTTATGAGTTTTACTAGGTTTCATTGAACCACGAAAGAAAGGACACATTTTCTTCAGTTTTCCTGACCTTCCTTTAATATACCCTAGAAAGGAGCTATGCTTCCCCAAGGAAACTGGTGTTCTAGTTCAAGAAAAAAGTCATTAAGATGTTTGACCGTATTAAAATTGTGTAACCATTATTGCTTTTATCACTAAAGATACATTATGCATGAGTATTCATTTTCAGCCTGACTTTTACATTTAAGTTTGCAGCACCATGTTTCATATTAACGTTTCTAGCTAAGGATACACACTGCTCATGGTAGTTGAGTGACAGTTAATCAAATACTGGCACACAAGTGGCTTTAAGAGTGATTGATGTGTCAAGATAGGCCAGTGCTGGTGACAGCTGAGGCTTAGTTAAATTATATTATCAACAATGGCACAATATTAAGAGTAAGATGTCAGCTGTGTAAAATAAATCGAAAAATTAAGATTCTCTCAGCAGTTATAAATCTGTTTGGTTGCATATATCTTTTACAGACAGGTATTTTCAAAAGACCGTAAAGTGTATATGCCAGAGACCATGTTGCGAATATACATGTGACATTCTACAGCAGCAAGAGTATAATCCCTTTCTGTTATTTTTTTAATAGCAATCTGATAAAGTATACCTGAACATGAAGGGGAAAAAAAGAACAACCAACAAAAACACCAGCAGATGGTAGACCCAAGTCTTTCCCTGATAATCTCTTACGTAGTCCAAAGAGTTGCATCAAAGATTAATTTGGCAGCAATTGTAATATGGATTGCAAATTGAGACACCCTGAAATCATCACCTCTACCAAGCAGTTATGGTTTTAGTCATCATAACATCCAGTTTCTTTCCTCTGTTCTCGCTCTTAGTGACGTTTAGTTCACCACCTACATAAATTATAACCATGTAAACTTTAAAGGAAACAAAAGCAGATAATACGTAAAGGCATCTGGCACAAATTGAACGGCAAAGTCTGTTATTGATAGTGCTTGTTACAGAAGGCCACCCATACAAACATCTCTAATGGTGAGAAGACAACTGCAGGTCAGCAATAGTCTTAAAACTATGTATCCTCAATGACAGTGCTTGCAGGAACATCATACCAGGTGGAGGAGACACTGTAACCCAGAAGGGAGGGAGTTGTTTTCTCTTCCTCATCAGTGATCTTGTCTGACTGGCAACCTAAGGACCCAAAACCAAGCACATCTTATACTTCCACTGGTGTTACTTGTTGCTCCCTACATGAAGACAGTTATTGGACTCACCTGTGGCTACAGGCTGGTTACAATTTTTAGATCTGTGTGTCATTACAGTATTTTTGTTATTCTCATTTTAATAATGCTGTGAAAGTTACACGCCTATTGACATTTTAATATGTGTTGGATACATGCAGGATTTGTTTTAGGTCTGCATGATCTGGAGGACACAGGAGACTGTTTCCTTCCTCATTGCCCAGAAGCGAGATAACCTGAATGGAGTGATAGGGCCAGAACATGAATATGATGTCCGTGCTATACCTTTGCTATGTTTATGTAGAAAGATGATTACTGGTTTATCCTCCCATTCTGGTTTAGCAATGACTACCTCCTATGTGACTTCTTGAAATACCAGTCCCGGTTTCTGTTATCCAGCACCTTCAGCAGTTCAGCTGAATCTAAACTGTAAAGCTCAGCCAGGTCAAGGCTTCTCAGCAACTGAAATTTGTCGTCGCAATTGCAAGAGGCTTCGTGACTTGCTGGTTCTGCCACAGGAAGATGAAGGGGAGAAGGGGTAGAGACATACTGTCACCTTGGAAAGGAGTAGGATAGGATAGGAATGGGGACTGTTGCTGCTGGAAGCATGTTGCTTTGGTCCTCCATCAACATCATTCCAGGATCCTTATCTGCTAATCACCAATTAGTCAATGTTTCCTTTCTCTTTCCCGAATGTGGTTTGTACTGTCCTCTGAGCCAAGATCTCTGTGGCAATTTTACAACTGCAAGTCATGGCACGCAGAACACCATGCCCAATAACTTTGCAGTCTAGCTGAAACAATTCACCATTTAGTATAACCATTGCTTATTAAGATTTGTGGTAGCTTTTATGGATGCTTTGAAGCCTTTGTTAATGGAACACCATTCACCCAGGTCTTCTAGCACATCTGAATGGTTCCTTGGATCACAGGTTTTGCACACATACCGACAATTGGAGTTATTATAGTGTTCCATCACAAAGTGATAATTTCTAATTCACTTCTAATTTTCTTTCCTATTTTAGGGTCAAATGAACTTGACTGCAGTCTGATCATGGATTCTGGAGATACTGTATATACAGAATTTGACTTTGAAGACCAGGTAATTTTATGTATATATGGCCTCTCTCTAAGACAGTTTTCTAGTTTATGTACATACTGTGTTATACAATTTGTCTGAACAAGGTAATGGAACTTTAAGGGACCTAAGCCAAAGAACTTTTTAGGAGCAATGTAAGTAAATTTGTGATACACAGAGATTGCTTTCTGGTTATGAAAAAAGAGTGAATATTATTGCGGTATTAAGAGCCCGTATCTTCCATTACTGTGCATCACTGAATTTCCTCCACAAATTTTAAAATGTTGTCAAATGAGGCTAATAGGATTATTAGAGTGTGCTGTAAGTCTTCTCTATATTTAGGAAGAGGGAGTAAAACATTTTTCAAGAGAGATATGAAAGTACAAGAAGTGTGAAATGTAACTAAAACCAAATCAAACATTTTTCCCTTGAAAAAGAAGAGTTATTAAGAATAATAGCAATATATAACATCATATTAAGAATAACAACAAAAACATCAACAAATGCTTACAATGTGTTGAAACCAGCCTTTCTACTGATTCCATTCTACCCACATCTGAAAACTAAATTTTGATAGTATTTTCCTTGTACATAGGAAGAAAGAAGGCTGGGGGCGGCGGGAGAGGGAAGGTTATATACATCTTTCCACTCTAATCTTCACCTCAGCACTGATAGTGCCACATCTGGAGTACTGTGTCCAGTTCTAGGCTCACTGGTACAACATATAGACTTAAGAGAGTCCAGCAACGGGCAATGAAGATGATTAAGGGACTGGGCCATTTCTCCTACAAGGAAAGACTGAGAGAGCTAGGAGTGTTCAGCTTGGAAAAGAGAAGGCTCACAGGCGATCTCGTCAACGTGTGCACAAAGCTGAAGGGAGGGTGCAGAGAAGATGGAGCCAGGCTCTTTTCAGTGATGCCCAGTGACAAGAGACAATGGGAACAAACTGAAACACAGGAGGTTCCCATGGCTTGGATGCTGTGCTAAGGATAAGCATTATTATTCTTGTTATTGTTCTGTGAATAAGAATTAAAAGAATGACTTATCAATAAAAAAAAAAAAATAAAAACCATCTGTCTATCACACCGCTATACTTAAGGGTGGTGTTTTTGATGTTCCACTTTCTGTCTTTCACTTCTGCACGACTCTACTTGTATTTTTCTTCATTAATACCACAAACACTTCTCTAGATTTGTGAGCAGCTTGGCAAAGAATGTTATTTTGCGTTTCTGTTACCATTCAGCTAAATGCAGTTGCAAATTTTCTCACCTCTTCCCTCATTATTCACAAGAGATATCTTTTCTTGTGAAATTTCAAAGCTTGTGACAAAATCAGGACCAACAAAACTGAATTTTCATTCAGTATCATTCATTGGTTTTCTTTCGCAGCATTCGATGCAACACTTTATCCTCACCGGCAGCGTGTCATATGTTCTAGCCCTAGTAATTTCTGTTAATTTAGGATCCTTTTACTGTTCTTTTTGGCTCAGTTATTTCAGTTCAGCTTTTTTCAAGCAGACAACTTGCCTTTGTCTCCAAATCCCATTTTAAATCCTATTCTTTCATAATTCCCTCTTAAAACATTCTCTACCCCAGGAAACTCCTAAGTTTCTCCTCATCTTTGTCTTGACTGAACTACTTCTTTATTGCAGAGTTTAGGCCTTTATGCCCTATGAAGCAGAATGTATCCAAATCATGTTTGGATTATGTTGATGTTAAATTTTGCATTTTAAAGATATTCTAAATACATTCTTTTGGCAGAGTATGAATACTAAATAAATTATACTCTTGGTTCACAATGTTTGAAATGCTGTTCAAATAAGAAGCACAAGTTTTATAGTTAGAAAATAAAATTAACAGAAAGAAATATATGAAAATTATAGTAATTTATAATTTCAAACTATATGGTTCACTGATGATACATTGCACAGTCCATAAAAGCACTGACTGTAGTTTTGGATAAAGTTGCATGTGATTCTTATGCGAGACTAAACAAGAAGACTACGATGGGACCTTACTGTCTTTGTCAATAGCAAATAATCTTTCTGCTAGATGTGACAGTTTTTCTCATTATTTTGTCAGATCAATACATTGCCATTCTGTCAAGAGTGCAATACTGTTATCAGAGAAGGAGAAATCAAGTATAAACAGTGCTAAAAACCCTGCAGTTGAAGAGAGATACATAAATATGAAGTAGCTGACAATTACCTTCTTCAACTGCAAGTGGATCTCTATTATGCATATTAGTGACATTTAAAAAATATAATATTTCTATTACTAATTAATATCTTTATACCCAGTTCATATGAGATGCCTTGTACAAATATGAAGAAAATATAAAGGAGAAAGCAATTGCAACCCAACACCCTTACCACCTACTTTTTGAAATGGTACAAGAAAGTATTATATATAGAACCAAAGAAGGTAGTAGTGATTACCATAAAGTTATAATACCATCTAGCTACCTGGTCTGAAAAACAAAATTAGTAATTACTTTCAGGAAGAAAAGATCAATAACTAAATTCAGGAATGAGGAACTGCTTGCATTCGAAACTTGAGCTCATTTTGACTGTGGCAGCGATTTGGTACTCTAGTGATTTACCACGTGTTGTTTACAAATTGTACGAACCACCAACAACCTTCACTGAGAGAATCTCAAGTGGAAAAGGAACACGTGTCTGGATAGAAATGTGTCATACGGTGATGTTATCGCATAGGAAATCTGTCATGAGAATGTGGGGGATAAGAAGGCTGGTTTCTAAGCAACCTTACACAGCTGAGCTGCTAAAAATGGCAGAATTTCAGCAGAACATCTTGGTAGTCACTGAACAAGAGGAGTTGGGGGTTAGAGCAGTACACAACATGTACTGAAGACAAAGCCACAGCTGAGGATGAGTATCACTTGGCACAGTTGAAATGGATGTGCACAGATACCTTTGCATTTTCTCATTCTTAGAATGAGCCAGGAAAATCTTCAGTGTGAACTAAGCCAACAAAGAAGTTTCCGAGTTCTTCAGATGTACACTACTTCTTCCAGAATAAACTCACTTACTATCAGGCAGGAGCAGGGAGAGTGAGTGGTGTGGTCCCAACTACCAATGTAGTTGTCAGCTGATCTAGGAACACTCCAAAATACAGCGAAGTTCTTTGAGAAACACTTGTTACCTGTTGTTGAAACAGTGCAAAGCAACACTAATGCAGGTTAAGATCTGGCTTTTCTGGAGGAGTACGCAGGGGAAATTGAATTAAAAATAACTCAGAAAAAGCTTGAGCTTTGTATTGTACATTTTATAAATGAAAATTCAATTAAATTCATGTAACTAAATTAAAAGCAAACCGATTGTTTTCTACTGGCTATGCATAAATACTTCAAGAACTGGAACACTTGTAATCACTAAGTCCCTACAGCATTGAAAGGCAGGAGGAAAATACCCACTTCTTTAAAAAAAATACCAAACTTCTTTTTCTCCAAATCACTAATAACTAGTTTTCTGTTCTTTCTCAGATCTGTAGCTGTCAGATGAAGTATTACAGGAAGGAATAATGTAGGCATTTAGAATGACTGCCCAAAATATATTCTTCGAAAAAATAAAAATAAAAGCAGACAGTACCTCTCATTGAGAATGCCTTGTGGAAGAACTAGCCAAAGTTTCATGTCGTGGCAATGTCTAGAGCCTTTTCTGGAGTAATGATTACGCTACTCATGACTTGAGTGAAAAACATAAAAGCAGAGTAAACTGATAAGTTTCAGATATATTCACCCATATTAAGACATTAGGAATATGTTTTGGGCCACTCATTTTTGGGTGCAACAGCATAGCTTCTATTGAGGGAAGATCTGTACTTTATAGAATATTCTCAACTTGCACATCTCGCTGTCGTGACTAGTGCCTGGTTTAATAAGGATTGTCTTTTGCTGCTGGAATGCTCTCACATGTGATACAGGTTTTCACTGCTCACTGTGTTTATTTATACTTGCTGTTCAATTTCTCAGCTTTGCCAGAGAGGCTGTCAATATAGTGCCACTTGTTTCCAGAGATCAGACAAGTTTTATCTTTTAGAATTGGATTTTTAATTGGAAACCTACCATTTGACTTATTTTAAGTGCATTCAGGTCAAAAGGGAGTATTGAAAAATTGGCATCAGTGAATCCTATCAAAAAGTTCCAGAAGAAAAGAGCTTCCAATTTTTTTTTTTTTTTTTTTTTTTTTTTTTTTTTTTTTTTTTTTTTTTTTTTTTTTTTTTTTTTTTTTTTTTTTTTTTTTTTTTTTTTTTTTTTTTTTTTTTTTTTTTTTTTTTTTTTTTTTTTTTTTTTTTTTTTTTTTTTTGTGAAAACAAGGCTTTGAATACAACCTTAGCTAGTCTGAGGAATATTTAGACTAATTTGAGGAAAAGTTAAAACATACAGTCAGATGACTGTAGAGTGAATACACTCCTGAACAAGCACTCAGAATTGATAACTTTAAAATTTGGGAAACACAAAAATTGGATAAACTTCAGGTAAAAACCTTAAGAATATACTTAGCCTCTTCTAACATTTGGGGAGTGGAGGATGTATTTCACATCTACAAAATGTCGAAACATATTTTTGCTCCTCAAAGAAAGTTGCGAGTTCATAACTGAGGCATTTCCACGTCCTTCCAGTGTTAGACTGCATTTACATATGCAATTAAGTAAATGCAATGGCACATGCGAAGGAGATTGACACACTTGGGGCAGGGGGGAGGGAAAGACTTAGGAAAAGTAGATGTAAAAAAGACTGAAAGATAATAAAAGGTTTTCTGTTCAGCAGTGACAAGCAATCTATTGAATTAAGAAAACTGCATAACCCAATCTTTGCTGCAAGTACAGAATGTTTTATAATTAGAAAATGTGACAGCTCACTTGAAAAGCAACAAGCAAAACCAAAATGAAGTGGAGGAAAAAAGACTTACTCGCGTTCTAACAAGAGGAAAAAAGCTCTTGATTAAAAGTTGTTGCCATGTAGTGACAATTCTTCTCACAGCTCTCTGTCTTTTCCCATCC